CAGTAGCAGTGGCTGTGGCTGTGGCAGTGGCGATGGCAGTGGCACTAGCAGTAGCAGTAATAGTCGTCGTCGTCGCACTAGTACTAGTAGTCGTCGTCGTCGTCGTCGTAGTAGTAGTAGTAGCAGTAGCAGCCGTAGGTTGCAGTTGTTGTCGGTGGTGATGGCGGTGAGCGTGACCGTGCTGGTGTCACTGTTTGTTGTTCCTTCCTCGCTGATGCTGCTTCAATCGGAGTGGTTGGGGGCCTCATGACGGGGGTATCATGCACAGGGCTTGCACGTGTGGTGGTCCTCGGAGCCGTCCGTCGGCAGGAGCCTGCAACCTCGGGCCATGACAGCAAGGAGTGATATGCAGGTTTGAGTTTGGGCGGCGTTTGTGAGGGTCGTGGGAGGCAAGTGGCCCCCGTGCCATTGAACACAGAATGAAGGTTGGTGTGCCATCACCATTGCCATCGCGCGCAGGATGTGCATGCGGGCTGCATCACAAGCTTCATTGAGCACTTTGTCGGTGCCCAAGCAAAGCTTGTGTCTACAGCGAGCCTTTGTCTACAAGACCGCAAAGGTTTCAGAGAGGCTTGTGAACTCCATACGAAAACATCAGATGCATTTGTAATTTTTGCTGTCGTCAAGCAAGAACCTTCAAGGCTCGCGACATGCCATATGCAGGGACTGTCTGCTTTGAGGCTTCAGCTTCAGCTAGTTGCTAAGTTGGAGCGCTATTGGTTGCATTCTCCATGGAAGAGTCCCGAGAGCCGATGTCGCGGTGCCAGCTCGAAGGTGACGGACCTTCTGGCAGAGGACTGTGCGAAAGATTTCCGAATGATGCTTGTGTCACTGGCCTCAGGTTGGCAGTCTGTGTACATGCCATGTGAGGCTGAGAGAGCTCGTGCTTGCTAGTCTTGTTCTTGCTGGTACCGGCGAGTGCCGGCAAACTGGGCCTTAGGCAGCTGTGCCGAGTGCTGCGCACGGCTCAGGTGCGCTTTCAAGACCATGCTAAACGACTGCCCGGCCGCCGATTGGCTCAGAATTGAAGGGCTGTGTGGTTTGCACATTCCTAAGGAAGTTCGAAGGTAGGGGCAGTGATGGGCTTTTCTGCTGCTGTTCGAAATGATCAAGAGTGGACAACATGCAGGTGTTCAGCGCATGCTTCTGGTGCTTCGACTCTGACTGTCACGCAACGAGGCCAAAGGATTCGAAGAGTCGGAGCCCTGCCCTTGGACGCGGCAGGGTAGGCAGACCTCAGGCTGTGGTGCAGCCTAGCGGCTTTGGCCCAGACTGAGGCTCTCTAGGTTTTCTTTTGACACTGACAGCTGAGCACCTTGTACGTAGATAGCCATTGCAGGAACCTTGAACTTTTTGGCCTTACATTGCCTTACATGTTGGATCGATCTTGGAAGGTTTGTACTTTCTGAGCCCGGTTATTGAGGAAGAGAGCGTAGCCAACTTACGCTTGCCCCACTTCAAGTCCGAAGTCTGCCCTCAGTCCTCGCGTCTGCACCCCTTTGGCTGCTCTGGTCGGGCCCTGAGACAGTCAACAGTTCCTTAGCACCGCATCTTTTGAAGTGTGGAAAGCCCTTGGATCTTCCGACAGCTGCTCAAGCAGGCCCTCGGAGCTTTGCTTTGTAGCAGCTCACGAGCTGAGGTTCTGGGCAACATCATCGGCAGTGTCCTTGAAACCGTAGGTCAACGCAGGTACAGTGCGACACCAAGATGCTTGCCAATGTCAGCCGGTTTTTGCAGACTTGGCGCCAAACCCGCGGTTCCCAGGCTTGGTCGAGCTGAGCATTCGAAAGCAGGTCTTGGAAATGTTTTCGAACATGCAGAGGCTTGGTCACGGTGCTGCAGCAATTAATGAACGCGTACTCGTAGTTCGCAGGTCCGAGGCGGGACAGGCTTTAGCTAGAGCATTTAAGCGTCGGTGAGTGCTCAGAGGTATAAATGGCATGACGTAGCGAGCTTCTCTCTGCCTGACACGCTTAGTGTCAGGACCATCAGGAGCGATATTACGGGCGACGGGATTGCAAACGTATGTTGACACATATAAATGACCCTCTTTGGTTGCTTCACCCTTAAAACTCTAGCTAACGTCCACGTTTTATTCTGACTGTTCACTCAAGTCCGCAAAGCGAAGCCTTTCACGAAATGTGCTGGCCAGGCGGAAGGGAAGGCCAAAGGGAGACCTCGAAGTGGACCCCAATGATGTGGCCGCTGGGTTGCCTTTTCAGGTTGTGTTGCAACGGCCGGATCCGTTTCAGCCACTAAGGCAGAACAGCTCTATGATCGAGTCCTTTTCAACATCCAGGCTACAGTTGATCGACGTGGACACAGCTGCCAGCAGCATGTTCTGGAAGCGCAGAGTTGTCTTTTGCCCGCAATCGACTTGGCCGGGGTAGCGACTGGATCACTCAACACTAGACAGGCCCTCGCCAAGATCTTCAAGCGTTCCGTCCATTGCTGAGTGCAGCCTCACTCAACTTCCAGAGCGGAAGAGATAGTAGACTCCATCGCAACATGGACTAGGTCTGCGTGTGCAGCTGAAGGCTGGCCTGTGAAGCCTGAGGTTCATCGAGGTGTCTTCCGCCTTCAGTTTACGAAAGGAAAAGGTGACGAAGTGCTCAAGGAAGAGCCAGAGCGATCCCCCCAGCATCCCTCAGCAAGGCCTCTGCATGGGAGCCATATGCATGCTTCATCTGCTGAATGATGTGTGGTAGTACATGACTTCGTGAATCTGCTGATTACGCAAGAATGCTAAACAAAAAACCACTGGCCCAAGATCATCATTGATTGCACAAGGTCCTTGAAAGTCTGTGAAGACATCAAGGACTTGGACTTGGCCCGTTTGGCATTGCGCTTTTGCAAGAAGACCTGAACTGTGGATGTCCCTCGTCACGGATGTTCAGGATTTCACCTGTCACGTCTTGCACAAGATGTCAGTATCTCAGCACAAGTGCCAGATCCACCATGCACAATTTATTGGCTGCCGTGCTCCGCATCTCCGCTTGCGTCTCTATAGGCCAGTAGCATCATCGGCGACATGGGGTTTCATGGGCTTTGTCCGCCAGAAGATTCGGCTGTTCGCGCCTCGCAACACTCCTAGGCTCATGAAAGACCTTTCCAAGTCGATGCCCCAGAGCCAGTGAGTTGGGTCATGAACGGCATGCTGTCCTGCTGTGATTCGCTGTGATTCGTGCGTGTTGTGTTGTCTTGAGCCAATGCTATGCATCCTTCAAGTCTTCAAGCGTCAGGGTTCCAGAGAAGACTTGGAAATGCTCAGGAGCGAACTGGAAGAGTTGAAGTGCGGGCCTCGGCTGTCATCTGGTGGAGACCAGAGGACTAGTAGCTGTGCCGCTAGTACCTTGGAATTGGTATGTAGCCTGCTATCGGCACCTGATTTCAAACATGAAACAAACGCGGCAGAACCCGTGCAGGACGTGAAGGTTCAAAAGGCCCATCTTCCCCCCCCAGAGACGCACCAACCCTGCATTGTTTTCCGAGATGCGGAAACTTGCAAGGTGTTGTGTTGGGGTTGATGTTTTGACAGGCAGCCATCCTCGCTTCCACTCCGGATGCCCGTCCGTTCATCCCGCGGGACGGGGCCGAAGATGCGCGTTGCTTTCGGGCTCCAAGGAGTGGCCGCGGACGACCGGATGAGGCCAGGGCGGGCGCAGCGTCGAAAGTGTCGTCACAAGTCCTTTGCAGAATTTTGCAGGCGTTTTGCTCGATGGTTCGGTTGCCATGATGCCAGCTATCGCTGCATGCAATGCCCAAAATCTGCTATTGTACATGTAGTCAGGAAGCTTTTTGTGACCAGTGTCTTCCGCACGGAACCCGCAGCTGATTGTCTGCTCAGCTTGACCCAGCTGCTGTTGTGAAGCTATGTGTGCGGTCTCAGCACCTTGCGACCGCGAAAGGTTTCTGGAGCCAATAGCTATCATTTCGTGACCACAAGCACTAGCGGTATTCCACGGCGCATGTGTACTGCGACTCTTACTTTGGCTGCTGCTGAAACTACTGCTCAAACTGTTGCTGCTGCTGCTACCACTACCAGTACCACTGACACTACCACTACAACTACCACTACTACGACTACGACCACGACGACTACACTATTACTACTACTACTACTACTACTACTACTACTACTACTACTACTGACACTGCTACTACTCCTGCTACTACAACAACAACAACAACAACTACTACTACTACTACTGCTACTGCTACTGCTACTGCTACTACTACTACTACTACTACTACTACTACTACTACAATTACTACTACTACTACTACTACTACTACTACAACTCCTGCTACTGCTACTGCTACTGCTACTGCTACTGCTACTTCTCCTATTGCTGGTACAAGTACTATGACCACTATACCGGTGATACTGCTGCTGCAACGGCAGAATCAGTCTTCCGATTTCGCCGATGTCATGGCGGATCTAAGCGCCATGGAGCCGCAGCCCCGCCGATTGCAGGACTCTGCCCCTGCGCGCCCTGGAACGCGGCACGAATGGCCCCCAAGGGCTTTGAGGCCGAGCAAGAAGCGTCTCGCCGAGGTTATCTACGCCAGCTGTGACCTACGAAGCGAACTCCTGTCATGTTCATGTCCCCCTTCAGAGCAGAGGCAAAGCCCGACTGCTTTCAGACGTCTGGTGGAGTATCTCCAGCAGATGTGGTCGCAACTCTGGCTCTGATTTGATGGCAAGGGGATTCCTGGTGCGCATGGGCAGGGAGTGGAGGCCCGCGCCCACAAGAGCTGAGGAATGGCATCCTCATCCAAGCGGTGGGAATCCCATTGAGACACCTCTTGGCTTTCTATGGCCTGCGGCTCTGCCTCGGCGGACAGGTGCACCAAGAGATACGAAGCGTTACTTGTGATGCTTCCGTCGTGCATCGCTCTATTGTCTTTTTGCGAGGTGCCTTGGCGCACAGGCCTTTTTGCCATGGCTCTCTGGCCCATTAGCGGCTTCGGCGTCACGGCCGGCGCACACAGACTGTGGCCTGGCCCAGCGTGGTCCACCTAGAGCCCTCTGCCTTCTTCGAGTTCCCAGCCTGAGGTGGACCCATCAGTCCTACGTGGCATCATCTACGATGGAGGATTGGCAGAATTTTTATCTGATCTTTTCCTGAGCTTCGGTTCAGCTTTCTGGTGCAGGTGATGCTCATGCTCATGTTTTCCATGGCGGACCAGGGCCCCATCCAGGGCTGGGCCTTGACGCAGCCCAGGCTGCACGCAGAGAAAGCTCAAAGCCCAAACGACGGCACGTTTTCACTGCGCCCCGCATCTTAGATACGAGCACGCCCAGACCCTACCCTGAAAGAAAGGCATGCGATGCACCACGTTGCCAGCGACACGCGCTGGGATCCGCACAACCGCACGGCGGGCTTTTGGCGCCTCGTCCAAACGACCAAACGGAGGCTCTTCCAGGCTCTTCCTCGGCTTTTGGGGGACATCTCTTGGAAGTACAAGTGTGAGGTGACCGCACCGTCTCACAGTTTACGTAGGTGGAGTCTTGGGCTTGAGAATTCTCCGCCCGAAAAGCCTTTATTCAGATTTCAGATGTTCAACTCCAACAATGCATCCTGTCTGCACTGGCAGTTGGACCTGGGAGATCGAGTGCCAAACCAAGGAAGCTCAGATCAAGCGCAGCAACGCTTTGCGAACCATACTCCGTCAGGTACGCACACGTCGGCTGGCTGTTCTCTTCGATGAAGTTCCGACTCGGCACGAGAGAGTTGCTCGGCTCGTGATGTCGAACGACCTCTTCTTGTCCAGGACTGCGCGTTGCATGAAATGGCATCAGATGTGCCGGATTTCGAGGGTCTTGGTCCAGGTCTGGTTTGATGGAGAGGTTCAATGTCTTGCTCAGAAAAAACTCCTGCTCTGCTTTCCGTGTCTACGACCCACCGACCCCGAATATCGCAATCGGCCCCCGAGCGTCACACAAGCCTGTTGCAGAAAAGTATAGCCTAGAAACCTCGAGGCATGTCATTATATCGGCAGCATCATCAGCACCTTCATCTCCATCTTTAGCTACATCTTTTTCTGCGTCCTCATCTTCAATTGTCTTCACCTTCGATCTTCAGTTTTCGTTCTCACAACTTTCATCACCGCCAACATCTCCTCCAATCATACATGCCCCCTTCGTCGTCGGCAGGAGATTGTTGGTTGAATCGTTGCGTATCACCTTGCACTATGTCTTGAAGTGACAATGATTATTCATTCGGCAGCAAGGTATCGGCGTGTCGTTGAGCGCCTGGGCCCTGTTGTGAAGTTCCATGATGCGCCGCTCGGCTTCGCGTATACATAAGAAAAAGAAAAAATCTCGCAGCTTCGATTTCAGGATGCAGGGTCAGACTCCAGAAGTCATGAACACAACCTCAACCTAGCTGGTGAAGTGACACATTTGCAGGCGTCGTTGCTTGCAAGCCTGCAGCAACAAAAGGGTTCAGCCCCGCTCCACAGATAATAAAGTGCACACGCACACCTAAATGTCTCAATGGTTTATGTTGTTCCAGTCCAAAAGACCCAAGCATTACCGAGCAGCTTCATAGAATTTCATGGAGAGGGTTCCGGGGCAGAGATGCTCAATATCTCCCCTTGGTGAATTCATGTTCCGATGAGTCTCGGGCATGTGCCACATTTCCTGGTCACTCCTGGTTCAAAATCTAAACTTTCATTTCCAGGTGCTCACTTTGGTGGGATCCTCTTTGGTCACATGCAGTTCCAGCGGCCGTGGCAACGCTCTGGGGAGATTTTCGCGGTGGCCTCTTCGTGGCAGGCTTGGTGACAGACACGGCTGCAGGAGGTCAACTCAGGACGTGCGAAAATCGACATGTTCAGTGCTTCGACTTTTGCTGCAGCGTGATTCACGTGAACCCAGCGCGGTCTCTTGCGCATCAGTGGTCCTGCCAAGTGCAGTTTGTCAGGTGCGCTTCGCTGGATGATTGTTCAACACATCACCTTCGCAGTGAACTCCCTGGCACATGGGGAACAGGAGGAGTCAGGGGGTGGTGGGTGTTGGGCAGGCTTAGGAAGATGTACCTAGCGTTCTACACGGTTACACCTACTTCATTTTCGAAGGGCCTGCTGTGACAATACCGAAGGTTTGTGCTTGTCTGCAGGAGGGAAATCCGCATGCTTTCGATCCGACTGCTTTTGGCATTGGGCCGAGGGCTGCTGCAGCAGCAGACAGTTGCGGTTGTTTGTACGTGTTTGCCCGGTCTGCTACTGCGGTGTTCCAGACTTGACCTGGTGGCACCAACCCCGAAGCCTACACTACAGGGATGTGGCGCATGAGAGGCGAACACCACGGGTTGCAGACAAAGAGGAGCCCAAGAAACCGCATCGTGCAGGCAATGCCAGAGCAAGAAACACTGTCCCACACGACACACAGGCACACACACACACACAAACAAAAATGCTACTTCATTGTAGGTCCAGGGCTTTCATGGCCGCCCACGTGCACATGTCTTTTGTGCCGACATGACGCTAATCCAATCAATGCTGGCCTTTTGGATAATACCGTTTTCCTGTGCTCGGGACTCTCTCGCATTCAGCTCAATCAGGGCATTGGCGTCCTGACAGTACTTTGTCCAGCTTTGTGTTCAGGTAAGCGTGCTGGTTTCCTTGCTGGCGCTGGGAGAGGGCTGGCACGACTACCATCACTTGTTTCCATGGGACTACGCCGCCGCAGAAGCTTAGCTCAATTGACCCAGCTCTCATAGCAAACCTGAAAAGATTTCTCGAAGCGAGAAGTTCTGCTTCTCCAGGAGCTGGATGCTTGGGACCAGTACAACCCAACGAAGGCAGGACATGAAAGTTTCCAGACCGTTCAAGGTTACAAACAATGGCCGGTCAATTAATCTTCGCAAGAAAGGCTACAGGTATAGGAATTTGATTGTTTTATGTCGCGACATACAATACAACTCTGAAAATCCGCATTTCCTTCTTACCAGGACCTGCAGCAGCTGTCAGTACTAAGAGCAAACAAGAGGCAAGCTCGAACATGACTCTGCTCGACTGTCTGGCTGAAGACAATGCCTGACGTTCTTGACTGGGGGCAGCAACTACGAAACAGAGAGCGGTTCAGCATTGTTCTGCTGCCTTGGCTTCCTTGGTCGTGCCCCTGCAAAAATGCATCGCCGGGTTGTCTGATGTGTTCGCCGCGGAAGAGCGCAGTCAGGTCGTTCAACATATGTAGGCCAGGCTTGATGTCCCCATATCAAGTGATGATTCTGTGCGAAGCGCGGCAGCATCTCCTCAATGCCGTGTTGCGTTCGAAAGGTGGACACTTTGTTTCACTTGTATCAAGGTCTTCATCGACAGTTGCTGCCTAGTCGGCTTGGCCAAGGACCCGTGCTGCCATGGTCATATTATATCAATAAGGAACAGGTTTATTTCTGGCAGACTTTAGACGAGAGGTGCTCGTTGTATCGCCCCCTCTCTTTCACTTCCGGCTGCAGGACAGGCGGCGATGCTCTCGACGTCTGCAGGAGCGAACTCGTTGCTGTGTGCATTTTTTTCACAGCATTCGCCGAAACCTTCGGTGCCTCAACGAGGACCTCAGGCGATCACAGCTCCTGTTCGGCTCTGCGCCTGCGGAAGGACACGAGCTGGAGTTCGAGGCCTGCCTGCATTCGGTATCATTCGCTAAGCCGACCGCCAGCGGAAGGCTTCAGTGTGCGGGTCAGGTCTTTTCATGAGTCTAGTTTTGTGACGTCCCATGTGCAATTTATCTGGGATCTCCAACGCCTGGAGCAGCTAGGCCCGTGTGTCCTAATCCTCATCGGAGTTTCAACAGCAGCTGGCCTCTTGACATCTGAAGACTTTCTGCGCCCAGCTTTGGAGGTCGTTGGCCTCCCGTTTCTGCGCTACAAGCGCCGCGTCGACGGTTCGCGCACAGCAAAGCAGAAATAGATGGACACAGCCGGGATGGTTACCGGAACCCTGGCCAAGTGTCAGCTCGAATGATCGGATCTGCAACCCTGAGTTTCTCAATAATTGAAACTGCTGACCTGGCGCTATTGCCTAAATGGTCTCATGTCCCATGCATGCTTCGCTGGTGACGAGAATCGTCACCTAGCTTTCGGAGATCAGAGGCCTTCCTTGCAGCGTGCCACGTTACCCGCAAGGTATCTAATAGTCTTATAGGCGATCTGACACTGTTGTGCAGCAGCATCGTGTTGCTGCGCCTTAGTTCCTTAGCTTCTGAGTCCTGGAGTGCTGCGTACAACCCTGATCACGGTCCCAGACCATGAGACCGACTCAGCGCGAAGCGCTGCTCTGCGGACCGTCCGACCAAGAGAGATGCGCGCAGTCAAAGCGGGAGCGTCTGCAGAAGGGTTGAGGGGGTGGAGTGCTGAATGCAGGCCCAGGTCCGAGGCTGGCTGGAAGTAATTCTGAAACGGAAGCGGCATTCGTCCAGACAGGGTAGTGTACCAGGCCAACGACAACCCACAGTCGGTCTTCTAGCGGTCGGGCCCCGCCCGTGGCAACAGCAGTGCGATTACAAGTTCACAGTAGTGGGTTTTAGGGGTCGGGGGTAAGATATGGGATCGGCCACCATCGCCTTCTGAGGGATCGGGTCTAAGATCAACCGACCCATCGCCCAGTGATCTACTGAGGGGTCGGGTTGAAGATGTGAGATTTGCCGCCAAATGTAGGGTCAGGGTTAAGAGTTGAGATCAGCCGCCGTGGCCTGGGAGGAGATCCACCACCATCGCCACGTGATGTTAAGTTGATTGTGCGTGCTTGTCCAGGCAGTGGCAGATCTAGCCGGAGAATTGTACAGCGATCTGTACATGGCCCGTGCCGAAGAGTGGTGAGTTTTGTGGCAGATGGCAAGCTGATCGGGGATTTCAGCTTTCCATCTGAGACTTTCAGAGGTGACAGGATCATTTGTCCTTATATCTTATTTACATCAGGCTGGCAGCTGATTGAAGGGGACGTGGCAATGAAAGTGCATTCATAGTGTTTGCTGAGTCCCACCTCACGCTGGAGAAGACTACCGTCAGCATGTCGACTTTGGCGTGGCACTCAGTAAGCCGAAGCAGACATGATTGATGCCAGCTTTGGTGCGACTCTGCAACGAGCCGGAAGAACACGTCTGCTGCTCGAAGCAGCCTTGGAGAACTACTTACTCATATCCGCATCTCCTATGCACGAGGAGATGCTCGAGATGGCCAACCTGCTGTGGAGGCAAACGGGGTGGTGGAGATGTCAAGGTCGCATGTTTCGGAGCTAACTTTCTGGGTTGAGCTCGGCTCACCTTGCTTGGATACAAGGGCTTTTTGTGCCAAGTACAGTCCTGATGTTGTCCTTAGTAGTCCAGATTTTGGGTGTGCCGGGCTTAGCTTTTCAAGGTGACTTTCGAAGAACAATTTCTTCGAGCGACGAGTGCAAGGAAATATAGGAAACGCTTCGCATGCACCCTTTCAGCAATTAGATACTTCTGACTCATGACTATCGTTTTGCGAGTCGCAGACACGCCGTTCTTGTGTTGCACTACCTTGCAGCCTGCTTGGAATTGTCTTGACATGCAGCCAATGGGTGACAGTGGATTCGGTTTAGGCAGCGGCAAGAGCTTATCCAGTCCGGCGACACTCAGGCCTCCGCATGGAGTTCAGTCCGAGCATTGCTTGATCGTTTGCTAGGTGTTGATGTGATCGTGAAGATTACATGGGGAGATGCTTTAACACTGGCAGCAGGGCAGGCTAGCGACGTTTTGGGCAAGCAAGTGTTTGCAAGCTACCGTTCTCAGCAAATGGAAATCTGCGGGAGAGGAATCTACTAGCTTCCAGGTTTCCATCGTTTCGCAAACATGTGGGCTCGAGGTGTAAAGAATGACCACGACACGTGACGTAACTCCCTTTAAGCTGCTGACTTATCTACGAAGGGGGATGTGTGCCGCACAGCATTTGCAAGAACGGCGACTTGTGCATGCGGCGGGTGCTCTAGCGATGGCTGCTCTTCTGGGAACCTTTCTTAAGCTACTGTAGATGCCCGGCGTCGCAGTTTGCTCAAGTCCGTTCTAAAGTCGACGAAACACCAAGTGGAACTGGGCAGGCCGCACTTCAAACTTTCACATGTGCAGCTGTTTCTGGAGACATCAAGGCTAGTCGGAATGCGGTGACCGCAGACGTGCTTACCGCCATTCCGCTCGCGCGATTTTTACGGACTGCTCGATGCCATCATGCCCAGGTTGGCTCACACTGCGGAGCCGCGTGTGGTCGGCGCGGGCGAATATACCATCCACAGCGCCCGGTAACACTTAACTTAACGCCATCGGAGGATCACATTCCGTTCGACATCGAGCCTTCGTGCACAGGTTGGAATGTGATTTCTTCGCAGGGCCACGCTGTGCCATCCCTGCATTGTGGCACACAGAAAACACAGCTGCTGGGCACAGGCTCTTCATGCCTACATTCGTTACATTCGTTGGCCTCGTTTCGCGTGACGGCGTGTGTGGCCAGGGGAGAAGCCGAATGTATCTCGGCGACATGCTTCGTGCGAACTGCACGTCCCGTCTCCGATGCTTGCCGATCCGAGCAGTCCCAGTTGTCACACCACTGTCATCATTAGCACAAACATTCTGTGTTCGCGTGCACAGCGGCAGCTTTGCAGCACGCAACGGTCCAAGTCAGGCGAGCTAGTCCAGTAGAAAAGGCCGTGCGAGGGCCCCAACCTTCTGTACAGATCGTACCAAGCAAAACCGGGAAACAGCAGCCCGAGCTGCTTCAAGAGCCACTCTGTTGCAACCAATCACAACGCCGTCCTGAGGGAAGCCAACCCCCAAAACGGAGACATCAATCCCATAACTACAAAGCTCGTGAAGCTGCAAAGCTCGAAGCCCCTGCGAGCAACGTTCCTAAAGACCCTGAGCTGTACAACCAGGGTCGTTGGCACCTTCGAAAGAGGTGAAGAAGATGCATCCACCCATTGCCCCGAAACCAAATGACGAACAGGAAACTCCGCAAATCGACCCTGCAAAAACATAACAACAAGTTCGATCCAGCTCATCCTGACAGGAGCCTTGGAGGCCGCATCTTGTACGAAAAGAAACTCGAACATCTTCTGCACGAAACGGTTAGGAAAGCCCTGACACGCATGTGACTCAGCAAGTCTAATGCTGTTTGAGGGCTCATCCGGAACATAGGGGATCTCAAGCAGTTGCATAGCCTCTTGCTCAGCCGAATGCCGTGTAATTACCCTCGTCATGTCGGCAATGCGAGAGTAAACCGAAAACAGAGCTTCCAGAATCCGCGCGTGTTCGAAGAAGTACTGTGCCGCAGCCTGATGTGCTGCTTTGAGGTTGCAGCAACGGTTGTTGTTGTTGGCGAGCACTGCAAGTCGGTCAGCCTTGTCATTCCATTCAGCTAGCCACTCCCCTACCGGAGTCTCACACATATCAGTGTTGATGTGTGATGGGACATGCTGAACCAAGAGGGCCCCTTCATCAAACTGTTGTACAAGCTCTTGCACCAAGGTCCAAAGGTCGGCATTCTCTGAAGGCATCTGAAAGAAGCCTGATAAAAGAGCCCTGATTCCCTTGACGAAATAGACCGCTGTCATCAATAAATGCCTGTCCTAGAATTCCGGTGATCATGCCGTCACCAAACAAGGCCGTCCCATGAACTATGCTCTGTTATGCGAGGTGTTTGACACAAATCTACCTACCTGGCTTATCAAGCTGCGAGAGAGCAAAGCTGCCCAAGTTTGCGCAGGACATGTTCCGAAAAACCCTCGAAGAAGTGATGCGGAAGCGGCAGCCTGTGCCTCAGTGTTCCGCGAAACGAAGAGGAAGGCTGATGGTGTGCCCAAGTGACTCGATCTCGTGCGGTTCAAGAACCTCCGTGCCTGCAGGGTGGCCGCCGGAAAGAACTTCTCGCATGGGACTACAGAGGCATGGAAGCAGTTTCTTGGGGTCGTGCTTTTCTTTCAGGACGGTCGTTATTATGAGGGAGACCCAAGAATTAGGCAACCTGCCAGGAGATCCAGGAGTACCATCCCGACGGTCACCTTTGGTTTGGGCCTTGGGTGAATTCGTGGCCGGGTGTGCCTCGTCAGCCGCTACGAGCATTGCATGGCATCTCGCAAGAATTCCGCAGAGCAATCGAAACAGTTCGAGAAAGATGCATGCAGCAGTGGCCACATTGCGGCTCAAGCCTCGCCTGTGGCAGTGCACTACCACAAATGCGGTATGGGCTCTGGCTTCACCGGAATTTGCCGAGACACTTTGGCTCCCCAGCTTGTTTCCGATTTCCGACTCCGACCAAGGCTTGCGGGCAAGCATGGAGAGTGGCACAACCTGCGGCCCAGAGCGAGGTGCCACATCTGACACTCCAAGATGTGCAGACAGGTTGTGGCACCTCTTAGGCTGATAGGATCAGGAGCTGGTTGCATTGCGGAAGCCGCCTCGTGTCAGCAGCATTTCATGATATGGCAATCAACCCTCGGCAACTCGGCGCCGCGAGGTTCCTAGAATACATGAGAGGGCCGGGCTACGAGCCCACTTTCTGCAACGAGTCCAAGGTGACACTGGCCGGTCTCTGCCTTGCACGTAGGGCGTCAACTTTAGGCTTCGGGATCTTCGAGGAGGGGTGCACGAGGCATTGCCAAATTGATGAGGCATGCGTGGAGGTTGGGAATGCACGAGGCCAATTAGGCCAGCCAGAGCGGCATTTGACTAGCAGAGCAGCGAGGTTTGATGTCCGAAGCATTCAACTGAACGGGAAGCAGGTTGCCCAAAGTGATGCCAGCTTGCACTGATTGCTTTTGCCAGGCGCCTATGCCGCGCTGCCTCACCTCGGACCTGGATCTAGAGCAGTAAATGGTCATGAACTTCATGGATTCTTATTGCATCTGACAGCATGCAAATCGCGCAATCATTGGTCACGGCTTCGCAGGAAGCTCAACGAAAGCAGAAAGACTTCTCCCTGATCCGATTGTTCAGCATACCTGAGGAGGACATCCGTTGCCAGGAGAGTAGTTTCGGCAGCCAATTACAGTTCATTGAAGGGTCCATGATGCGATCTCCAACTTCCGCTCCGCATGCATGTAACGGCAGTTTGATGGGTCCTCGCCTTTGCTCAGGAAAAAGGGCCCGTCCCTAAGTTCCGGTCCATCGCAGCCTGCAGTGGAGCACTCTCGGGCAGTTTGAGACGCAGGGGCAGGTTGTAACTTGAAAGTATACCAGAACAGAGGCTGCATCCTGCATCCTCCTCCGGATTTGGTAGGCGGCTCAGAGCATGCCAAGGCCAAAGTTCACGAACCAGGACGGCGAGACGGTCTTTGTGCACCTCGGCGTTGAAAGCTCTTGGTCCTTGATGTCAGGTTCCAATCTGGTTGCTCAGTCGAGTTTATCACGCACAACCCCAACACAGCTTCTGCTTGATTCTACTTGAACTGCTGTCTTTCGTGCATCATCTGGTGCGGCATGCAAGGTACGAAGCACTGGAGGCCAGCTGAGATCTTGCACAACTAGATACGCACCCGAAGAAGAAGAAGAAGTGTGCTCTGCCATGGCATGCCTCTGCTCAAAAGGAGCTCCTGCAGACCCTCGCTGGCAGCGCGCAAGCCGCTGTCTCGGGAACTCCCGCTGTCAGCATTTCAGGAGGTTTCGGCTGCCACTTCCGGCTGTTACTGAGGAAGATCCTGACTTGAAGTACCAGATTTTTGGCCTCGAGCTTATGTGCTATGGTGCGCTGGTGAACCAATGCTTCTGCTCGCAGCGACGGATATGTGCGCATGATGGATTTTGTCTGTGTGGCCACCAAGGCAGTAGCTTGATGGAGCTCAGGAGCCTGCCCTAGCATGTCATGTCATGTCACGTCATGTCACGTCTTGTCATGTCATGTCATGTCATGTCATGTCATGTCATGTCATGTCATGTCATGTCATGTCATGTCATGTCATGTCTTTGCGGAACGTTGCGGAACGAACCGCTCGGGCCATGCGTAGAAGTTGTCATTGTCATGGAGGCCCGATGAACGCCGAGGCTTGCGTAACATGCCTGTGCACCGGCGGGAATGATGCACGCACGCTAGATTGATCAACAGCTGCAACAGCATACGGCGACTAGCGTAACAGCACTCAGACAGCATGCGAAGATGCTCCTGGGCTTTTCTGAAAAAAATGGGGTCCCTTTCTAGGTCCCGAATATAGTACGGCACCCTGAGTAAAAGGACAGTAGAAGGGACCCTAATCTAGAGAACTTCCATCCGCGGCGCCGCACGCAGTGCAGGGTGCAAGTGGATTGCCGCTTTATACCTCCAGCAACGATGCTTTGTGGCTGCCTTGTGTTTTGTCAGCGCCGCTCTGGAGAAACGGCAGAATAGCATCTGCCACGGAAAACCACAGGGAACGTGTGTCTGGTGAGAGAAGACCTTCCGACCTTCCCTTTCCCAATTCGGCGACGCGGCCAGAATCCTTTCTTCGGTGATCCCAGAGCAGCTCCAGCAGGATGAGCCCCAGAAGCCAAAACAGAGCGTGCAGGAACAGCTTCGTCAAAATCCAGAAGGCGATGATGCAGGAGAGAACTATGCCGGTTGTTGACCCACTTGCTTCCGGCATGCAAACTTAGAGCAGGCAACACCTTTGTAACGTTGCAACTCAGGGCTGTAGAATCAGTTTTGCGAGGATATCAAAGATGGCCCGGTCCTCGGAAAGTTCTTGCAGCTGGCTCCGACCAGAGTCGAATGGGCGAAGTCTGTGCTACAGGCTTTGCTCTTGCATTCAGATGGCTGACCTGCAATAGGGTGCCTCTATGCGAAAGTAGGCAAGAAGGCCTTCCACTCGATGAAGATTGAAGTTTAAGTGCAGCTTCCTCCAGCTTTAGCCTCGGATCGGCTACTGTTGGAACCCAGGCAACGCTTCCAGTCGTATGCGGGGTACGGTGATGGACCTCGAGGTTGGGAGCGGAAAGCTCTGGATGAGTTTTTCGCCAAAGCTATTCTCTGTGCATGGGAGTCCCTGGTATGGCCCCTGTGCAGGATGGGAAGAACATGGTTGGCATCCTGCAGAACCAGGCGGTCCTGCAGCTCGATTCACCTTCCCTCCTTGTCAGCATTACGCGCTGCATGGGGTTGCGGTCGAAAATCCTTAGACTCCTCGACCCTGGGTGGTTCGCTTTGCAGGTCACATCGATTAGCAAAGAGCTCATGGCATACATTGCCTGACGCGCAGAACCTCCACGGATCGCAGCCTTAGAGATATATCGTGACCCGCCGAGGATGCCGTGGTGCAGAATCGCTTCAAGCATGCGAGGTGGGATTGGATTTGATGTTCAGTCTGTGTGCAAGAGTCCTCAAGACTGCGAAGAGCCTTCCAGGTACTTGGAAGAGACGAAGACCAGGAACACAAACATCCTAGAGACAAGGAAGAAGTACGAAGAGATCCTGCAGGATGGCCCAAGTCCCAAGTGCGCTACTGCTACTGGAGTGCTGCTGGTCGTGTTGGTCTCTTGTACATCCCTTCTGCAAGTGGCACTGGTAGAGTACGGAAGAGCAGGGTATAGTAGCAGGCTCAACATGGTGTAACATATTTCTGCCAGGAGCAAGTAAGTGGCCGGAGCCCCGGAGAGATCGACTTTTCTGCTATTTACCTATTCTCATGTTGCTAACACAGCGCATTCCGGAGTTGAGCTTTGAGTTGCTGCCACCTGCATGTGGATTCACCGAGGACACCATGACGAGGGTTGTCCGCGCTGCTCAGCCAGGGCCATAATCCAATCCACTTGTGTGGGTGTTTTTCAGCGGCTTTTCTTCTGGGCTTAGCTTCGGCTCTCGGCTTGTGGCTCTGCACGCTGCATCTGTCGCGCCTCTCCCCGAATTGTGCAAGTCGGTTTCGACATGCAGAGTGGCAATCCAGGAATTGCGACTGCCCGAGTCTGATCACACTCGCTGCCGGGAGCTCGGCTTCTGGAGCTGGCAGCCTGCCACGGCTGGAAGCTTGCTGCAGCTGCATCCAGAGTTGCGAGCTGGTGCTGTGCCCTGGTTACTGTCAATCTAGCAGATACACTGCAACAGTGGTTAGATGCGGTGTGGAGCGATCAGGCGGGTCAGCGGTCGGAGAAGATAGCCTTCCTCCGGATACGGCGAATCAAGCAGCTGCGGACTCAACAACGAGTTGTGTTGTCAGGGGTTCAAGGAAAAGATGATCGTCAAACATTTGGACAGCCTGAAAAGCTTTACACTTCAGCCTTCAAACCCGCACCTGCTGTCAGGGAGGTACGGTACAGTAGGTGTGACAAGACATGGCAGAGTTCCTATGTTGGAACCTGAGGCGGAATCGCAAGCAGAAGCCAACGCCAGACCCCTGTGCTCGCACTTTAGATGCTCAATTGGCCTTCAGAGCTTTGTGTTGAGGCCCGGCCAGAAGGCCATCGACCTTATGGGCATGGAGGAGGCGGAGGTCAAAGTCCAGGCCGTGCTAATTACGTCTTCGTGACGTGCTCGCAAGACTGCGATGTTTGTTTGCCCTGGTTCGGGCATAGACAAATCGGGCAGGAGTTGCGCGAGTCTTTCGTGCCAAGCCAGTGGCAGCCTTAGCCGCAGCCAGCGACTGTCATAAGAGTGGGCTGCCGTGGACATGCTGAAGGCTTATAGCCGGGGGAAGGCATGCAAAAGACTTTTCGAACAGGGCGCGACCAGACTCTCACGTCAGTAACCCCTACCGTGCGATGAAAGAGAAGCTCACTTGACCAAAGGAGCTTCACCCTGGGACAACTGGAATCCAAAGGCCGGCGGCATGTTGGACTGCGATTGGCAAGTGGGTCTGGAATGGACAAGCCGCAATTGCAGATTGAAGCCTCCTGATTCCACGGTTTCTTGGAAGGTGTTCTGGTTCGCATCCATGACGGGATCGCCTCGAAGACCAGGAGCGGTCAAAGTGCCTCTGCTTTTAACGTGGGGGTCGCAGTGGCGCTGCCGCTGCCAAGCATTGCCAAGCGGGGCTGGCAGGAAGCATATCTGTTTCAACTTCAGGGCCGCCAATGAAGGCCGGGACGTCTGCTCGAGCATTCTGCCAGCATTGCTTTGCCGCGTGTGACTCGTGCCCGGGTCTCCACGCCCTCAAAGGTAGGGTCAGGCAAGTCTTCGAGCGACACCTGACAGTCCTCACTCCACCTGCCTTACTTGCACTGAGGATAGCTGGGTTGCGCATGCATGCATAGGATGAGTCTTGAGTGTTCAGTCTCTTACCTTGACCCCTTGCAACCTTGCATTGTCCGGCTGTCACACACTCCACTTTTCGGCCGTTTGCTGTTGATTCGTTGATGGTTCATGCAGTGTCAATCGCGTGTGTGTTTTCGGCTTTGGACGGCCAAGGCCGATGTGAAGAGGAGGTCTGAGCCCCCGGATTCGATCCCTGCCAGGTTTCGACGTTCAGATCTTCGTTCCGAAGGCCAAGCTGAAGGAGGCAGAGGATCGGATCCTCAAGGAGCCGGCTCCTCAGTCCTGCTCAGAGAGCGCTGAACTCGAAGAGCCTTGCCGCCGTGCCTGAGAGAGTGAGAGGCCTTGACACGTGTGCAGCCTTCTGCTTCCCATACACTATGGGGGCGCCTTGAGCGCAGAGGTAGGGGTCGCTCCCCGACAGAGAGAGAGAGAGAGAGAGAGAGCTCTGCCTCTTCTGCCAGAGAGAGAGAGAGAGAGAGAGCGAGTGCGTGCGTGTCGCTCCCCGAGAGAGAGAGAGAGAGAGATAGTACTTTAACGAAAGAAAGAAAAGAGTACTTTAACGAAAGCTGGGGAGCCCGGGGTCTGCATCTGCCATGCCGGGAAAGCTCACAGTCTCAAGCCGACTTGGGCTGGACGCTGGACGTTGCGAGCCCCTTCGGGGGAGAGCTTCCAAAAAGCCTTGCAGCCCCCACATGTACCGTTCAGCATGAGAGCGGCAATGACACTTGCTGGGCCGAAGTTTCGCTGAGAGGCCTTCTCGAAACTCATCCTAGCATCATGCCGACAACGCGGTGGCGTCCCGGGCTTGTTGAAGTAGTGACGAATCATAAGTCCGACATAAGCTGATGCTTGCGTTGATTTGTCAGTAACTCGCATCCATAAGCAGATGATAGAGTTTCCTCCAGGCCTTGCAGAAAGAAAGGAAGCTAGAGCAAGCAAGAAGCCCCAGAAGGAAAAAACACAAAGAAGCATAGGAGAGAGAGCAAGAGAGAGGAAGGAAGGGAATCCGTCGTACCGATGGCTGTGCGGGATCGCAGACGGCTGGACCTACGGGGCCTTAAAGCCTGTAAGAACAAGAAGAGGAAAGAAGGAGGAGACGACACGTCGGGGTGTGTGCGCACCAGCGCAGGCAGGGACGGGACGACCTCTTTGCTGCCCCAGAGACAGACAAAGAAAGAGGGAGAGGCGAGCTCGGTACAGTACTCGATGCTCGAGGTTCCATATTTCGAGGCAGGAGATTGACGACTTGGAGGTGCTCCGCTGTGCTGGTGACAAGGTCTTCCGATATTTTCGGATGGCTCGGGCTAGCTTTTGTCGGAGCTGTTCCTGGAAGTAACTTCAGATGTCTCCGGCGTTTGAAGTCGCCGCTCGGTTCAACATGGAGCACCCGTGTACTGGTGACGATCCTGAAGCCGCGATTTGTGATTCTGCAGCCGCCGCGACCTCTCAGGGCGACATGTAACTGTGACACGCCCTGTCAGCAACCACTTGAAGCTTGCTGGCGACAGGAACGACAAGCCTCGTAGCTGAAGTTCTGTGCCACATAGATCATCATAGATCCCTGTCGCATGTAGCATGCCGCAGCGACAAGCTTGGAGCAAAACAGATTTCGCTCCAGCACACAACAGCTCGAGAGTCCGAGCCTGCGCCCGTGCCGAAGAGCTTTCGGCCACAAGTGCCAGCAACGATGCTCCATCCTATGAGCCACAGCAAACAACAGGACTTTCTGTCGAGTTGCCCACGAGTGGAGTAAGCGCTTTTGGGAGAGGACCTGGCGCTGGGACTGCAGAAGGCTTCGGCACTCTTTGAAGCCCGATTGCGGCAGATGGAGGCGGCCAAGGACTCCGGGAGCAAGATCCTTGCAGAATCTTGCAGCTGCCGTTGAACTGCATGGCGCAGGATCAGGAGCTGGCTACGCTGCGGGAGAGGGCCAGTGCTGCACTCCGCAAGGCTCTCTGTGGCGTGTGTTCAAGTGTTCTTCAGAAGCCGCACCTGAACTTCAGTTTGTTCTTTGCACGTGAGTTTGCAGGTCGAAGAGCAGCGAGCTCTTGAAGTGCAGGGCCTGGCCCGGTCCCTTGGACAAACTTCATTGCGGGGCGCGGGGCGTTCGTTCTGACATAGATTCGTTTGGTGAAGGCAGCTGGAACAGGAGCGAGCAGCGCGGGATGCAGCTCAGTACCACATCGAGAGCTTACAGCAACTCAGCTGGACTAGGCGCTTTCAGATTTCAGGCTTGTTCTGGCCCGTTGTCCATCGACGCCCATGATAGTCTGATGGTCTTTCCTCGAGCTCTGGTCTTCACGAGGAGGATGGTCGAAGAGCTGCGGCAAGAGGCCTTGGATCGACCCTCGGAGGCTGCCCGGCTTCCGGGATCAGGACATGTCGAGATGTGTTGGTCTGGGTTTCCGGTTGTACCGATTGTTACAAGTGATGCGAAAGAGCATGCAAGTAAACCTCCTCAGCCCCTCCGAGCCACTTCTGGAATGCAAACATCCTTAAATGTGTTCGACTGCTGTGTCGTCGATGTGTACTTGCATCCTCTCGCACGGTCCGTGATGCTGGGTGTGTTTTTGTCACTCGTCGTTTGAGTTTTAGTCGCGTCGTTGGTTGCTCTTCCCGAACTCTGCGGACAAGATCAGACACGGGCCTTGCTTCGAACTGCCAATGACTGTGCCTGCTTCAGTCCCGGGTCATCAGCTTCCGGAAAAATGGGGCGTCGCCGTCGCCAACTAACTCGTAACTCGAGGAGCCTGCGGCAGTCACCCGTGTGTTGCTTCTGCAGGCTGAAGCCTTCCGCTTGCGAGAGCAGTCAAGGCAGCTCCGTGAACAGTGCCCCACTCGGAGCAGTTTGGAGACCGCTTTCAAAATGTGAGCAGAGCCGAATGCTCTCGACAAGTCGCTGGCCGCTAGCCGTTACTTCCAGAAAGGCCTTCCAAGATGAAATGTTGAGGTTGGCCGAGACGGAGTCCAGTCTGAGAGCTTCGCGAAAAGGTCTGGAGGAGGGGAAGCGGAAGTCTCGTGCACACGCCCATGTCCAGATCTTTTCATCCGTCTCGAATGCGACTTTGAGATCTTGTGGCCGGGAGGATGCGCAGTCCGCCCAAGAAAAGCTGCAAGAGAAGTTGCGAAAGGCAGAGCGCCAGCTGAAAGAGAAGGCCGGCTGCTGAGGAAGTCATGCAAATCCGAGACTTCACGGCCTCGCCTTGCATCTTGATGTGCAGGCTGCTGTGCCGAGTCAAGCTCAGTTGCAGGGACACTTCGCGCTGTGGAGGCTTTTCAAATTACATGGCTTCGCGTGTTGCGCTGAGGACCCTCCCTGTCGGCAGCTCGGTCGCCGATCCAGTTCCGAGAAGTCTCCCAGCAGAGGCAGGGTGAGCCTTGGGCCCTGGCATTCGGCCGTGCTGAGCCATGGCAGGCTGTCCAGTGGTCTGCACCCTTGCCGGAGCCGTTGGGACTCAGCGGTTCTCATCCTCGTTGTGCATTCGATTCTAATGCGAGAATCGAGGGGTGCACGAAACCTGTATGAAGATGTTCCTCTAAGAGGCGAGGTGGAGCGTCCTTCTGGTCCTTCTCCTCTTGTCTGTACAGGAAACGACAGGTTGGTAGTCTGCGGCATCCAAGTCGAGTGGCAGTATGAGTTGAAAGTAAAGGCTCCAAACTTCTCCATTGCGAGTCCCAGTGTGCAACTCGACATGCCTCCGCATTGGCCAAGGCTTCCCGTCGAACCCGGCTACGAGGGCTATGCGGACGAGCGCCCCGGACGTATCGCAGTTTTTTCGGGCACTGTGGCCAGTTGTGACCTTCGCGTTTGCTTGGACGGGAACGGCAAAGTCTTGGCTGTCGCATCTGGTGGAGGCGGCCCAGCTATGCCGAGCAGCCGCCTGATTCGTCTGGCTACTGGAACGATCCGACCTCCAGGCAGAGAGGGCAGCCAGTCCTAGTTATAATTATTTGCTGGCAGCTGTATCTTCAAGGCTGTCGATCCAATCTTTTGAGCGCGCCGAAACGTGGCCCAGGCAGCAATACTATGCGGATCAGCCGCCTGGTTCCACTGGCTACTTGCACGATTCGTCCTCCAGGCCGGCACATGACAAGTGGCACGGGCTCAAGGCAAGGGCGGGCAACGGCAAAAACTGGACTGCGCCGAAGCGGAAGACACGAGGAAAAGGCATTGCGCATACGAGTACCCAGGTGGATGACGATCATGGAGCAAGAACAGGTTCCCAGTCCTTAGAGCTCTAGGGATCGTCCGGCCGTTCTTGAACGATCCAGGGAAGTGGGATGCAACCCCCAACCGCGGTACGCATACATGCCACAGTTTGATCATGACATTTGTCATTGACATGGCAGCCTTTCACTTGACAACTCCAGAAAGTCCTGTCACGGGCCATTGGCAATTGGGTGCGACATGGATGTGTTGGGTGCAGTGAAGTCAGCTTCTGCTTTTCCGAATCGTGTATTTCTGGGCGGAATCTTGGCTGTCGCATCTGGTGGAGGCGGCCCAGCTATGCCGAGCAGCCGCCTGATTCGTCTGGCTACTGGAACGATCCGACCTCCAGGCAGAGAGGGCAGCCAGTCCTAGTTATAATTATTTGCTGGCAGCTGTAGCTTCAAGGCTGTCGATCCAATCTTTTGAGCGCGCCGAAACGTGGCCCAGGCAGCAATACTATGCGGATCAGCCGCCTGGTTCCATTGGCTACTTGCACGATTCGTCCTCCAGGCCGGCATGTGAAACACGGCTCCGGGTTTCTGTTTACACATGACGCGCCGAGTTCGTGCCTTTGTGCTGTTGATTCTGTACCTGCACCAGAACACCTTGTGCACGTCCATCTAAGTCTAGGTCAGAGAACAATCCAGGAAATCTGCTGATAGTGCTTAGCAGCGCATAGGTCCGAAGCCTCTGGCGAAAGCTGGCGAACACAGTCGATCAAATTATCCTGGGCAACGAAATTGCCCTCACACAGCCTGATAAATCAAGATAGGCATTGCACCGCTACCTAGCCTTGTGCAACATCACTTGGACCTGCACTTCGTCATGTCGTTGTCTCCGTTTGTCTGTATGTGCTTCATCTGACACTGTTCGCTCCTGTCGTTAGTTGAACAGTCGCGGTAGTCAGTGCATGTCAGTGCTGAACTTGAGAGTCCAAACCCTACTGTAGCTTGAAGCCCGACAGCATCTAGGCCTAAACAGCTGGAGCCCCAACCCACAGTGCCCTTATCTGGCGATTCCGAGAGCCTCAAGACTTCGCAGCCAGACCTCCAAAGCATTCGATATCTGAAGCTCTAGCAACAGTTCGAGGCCGTCGAGGCCGTATGGTTTCACGTGTCATCGAGTGAGTATGTACAGATATATATGATATGTGATAGGTGTATTCAGTTTTGTGAAAGTCTGGACAGGTGTCGCCTCTGTGGCACTTTTCGGGGTCTGTTGTTGTTGCCGGGCTCAAGACGGCATCGGGTTCCAACGCTTACAAGATGTGGTTCAGATTGGCTGACAAGCAAGTATCCCGCAGATCCGTCCATGGCAGGGAAAGCGAAGAAGAACCAGTATTTTGCCCAACTACCAATCACAGTATCGACCGCAGATTTTGAAAGGACGGGCGTGCATGACGGAAACCTCGTCCCTGAGCATCTGAACAGTTCGAAGAACCGTGCATGCCAATGCTGTCGAATGTACGCCCAACTTCTGCAGCACATCTGGTGGAGGCGGCCAAGCTATGCCGAGCAGCCGCCTGATTCGCCTGGCTACTGGAACAATCCGACCTCCAGGCAGCGAGGGTAGCAAGTCCTGGTCCTAGCAGCTATTGCTGGCAGCTGTAGCTTCAAGGCTGTCGATCCAAGCACCGTTGCCTGCCCAGATCATGAAGACATGCAGCGGAATGCAGGTAATATTGTCCCGGCGTGCACTCTTAAGATCCCCTTCCGTTCTGCATGAGACGGGCTTGTCTTCGAAGAACTCAAGTCGCAGACTTGTGCACCGTACGTGCTAGATGATTACATGTTCAGCCTGTATGGGCCACAACGGGAGGGGAAATGGCAAGTGAGGCTGCAAATGCAGCTTCCATGGGTCAATGATTTCATAGCGCTTGCAGAGTATCTCATTGAATCGAGTGTCATGTGTGTGGGCAGGCAAGATGCTTCTGCCGACCAGGCGCCCGGGCAAGACAGCTCCTGGCTTGACTCAGCCAGCAGGCAGAGACGGGAAAGGGGATTTGATCTCGACGGCAGAGGACCATGAAAATTGTGTTGTCGGCCAATTGATCCGTCATCAGTTACGTGTGCGTATCTGTAAAAAGCACTATGTGCATATAATATACATGCATGCGACCCACTACCTGTTCAAGTTATCTATAATCATGGTCTTCGTTTCTGGGGCATGAGCGAGGGATTGAGGGAAAGAGAAGGAGCGAGGGAGAAGCGGAGGATCTCTGTTTACGTTGTTAAAGTTTGTCCCATGGGCAGTGGGTACAAGCTGGTGAACAGCTCCCATGCCGACCGCGCATCCCTAAGCCCAAGAAGGAAGAACAGGAGGAAACCATCTGAGAGAGAGAGGATGAGAGGGGCAGGCCCGGAAAGATGCAGAGAGACAGAACCGAACACTCTTTTAGATTGATGTGGAGGAGCCTGGGCCTGAAATCAAAAGAGCTTGCGAGCTTGCGGCAGGTTCGCGGCTCCCGAACATCCTGAGCAAGTCCAGTGGCCCCAGCCGGGCTTCGGAGGCTTCTGAGCTTTTTTGCTGTGTGTTTCAGTCCTTCTGCCTCTCAGAAGCTTGTGACATCGCCACTATGTAGCACCGCTTGCTCTCCTGGGCGAACGGGGAAGCCGATCGTTCATCTGAACGTGTTCGCTATGCCGTGTTCGCCCTCCCACCAGCTTCATGATGACCTGTTTGAACTACCCCAGTCGATGCTGGCTGTACCCTGGACTAAACACTTGCGCATTCATGGGTTGAACAAGCGGAGACCTGCCCGAAACCTGGACACATGAAGCATGACTCTCCGGCTCCGCACCCCCAAGCCCGAAGCCCACTAAGCCCAGACCCAGACGAAGCTCAGAATTTTTAACTCTTTCTTGCAGTAGAAAGATGGTAGCCCGGGCGGGCTGGTGCTCATGACCGGCCGGCTGAGCCCTGAGCTGGATGCGCGGGATGGAGATGCCACGGAGGCCCGGGCCTCGGCCCCGGCGGGACCTTCGATCAGACATGCAGCAATGGTGCCACACTCCACACGCAACATGCTGAGAGCGTTGCGGGCGTCAGAGGTCATGTACGAAATGGATTTCGACTGTGCTCCAGAAGGACTGCCCGCGACCGAAGCTGAACTGGGAATCTGCAGAATCCACCCATTGAAACGTGCATCACGCGTCTCGAATCATATAGAGCCAGCCAGTAGCCCTTGAGATGACTGATGACTCAGCCCGGCATGCGCTTGTACCCGCAGTGTGTGTATAGTGTTAGACTGTTAGACTGTTACAGCAACCTCCAGCACAGCCGAGTACCGTGTGCTCGCGCACACCCAGGTGAGCCCTTCCAAGACCACAGCGGTGCACCCAGGAAAGGAGAAGACCCAGGCTCTTGCCTCTGCTTAGTCCAGAGCACCAGGGTTCACGTTGAGCAGCAGGGCTTATGTGTGCTGCAGATCCTCATGCCGCACGGCCTTTGTGGCCAAAGTCATGAAGTCCCGAATTTCGACGCAAGGCCTTTGGGTCTACCACACGGAGACAGGAACCAGAGAATGAGGAGGAGGAGGACGAGAAGCCAGACGAGACCCTTTTCAGCATTGGAGGTGGTGCTAGGTACTGCATTATGGAATGCAGCTGCGTTGACGCATTTCTCATTCAAAGCGTGCCTTGCGTTCCTGGTGAAGACGCTGATAGCCTCCATGTCTCACGAGAGTGAGCTGCAGCTGTAGCAGGCACTTAGCGGGTCTGGCCTGTGCTTTCGTCTTAGCTTCGTGACAGTGAAAAAGATGCAGCTTCGTAAACTGCAGATCTGGGCAGTGCACTTGTGCACTGCATTCGGCGCTGCCAGGATCCTATAGGATTTCCGAACGCTTCGCAGTACCACCATTGTTTTGACTTGTTGCCCGAAACAGGTCCTGACTCGTGTTTTCGCCTTTATGTCTTTGCGCGTGCGCTTTTGCCGCTGTCCCAGCCCAGGAAGCGCTTTGGAGGGTTCCCGTCGCAACTTTTCGAAGCCTGGCGCCTCATCATCCGTCCACCGCGGCGGAGGCGCTGGGCGGGAGATGCAGAAGCCGGAGCTTTTTTGCATCACTACTGCGAGGTATCCAACGAAGTCCTTGGGCCCAGCTGCCCTACAGGTGCGTCGGGTTCCAGCGCCGAGAGTCGAAGCATGAAAGCACTTTCGCCGCTGGTGAGGTGATTCTCCCTCGATACGACGAGTCTCGCCGTCTAAGCCAGCCGTTAGAGCGGCATGACCTTGCGCCTTTGCTGCATGAAGCCGACATGGTTTTTCATGTTAGGCGGCTAAGAAGAACCCTCGGTGACTGCCGTGCTTCCCCAAGGAGCTGCAGAACAAGCAGGGCCTGCGGCTCCAGTGTGTCTTGGATGCACATGGCCTGAAGGCGGCGGGGCACTTGCTTTTTTTTTTTTGTGTTAAGTCTCCAGCTCGGACTCCTGCATTGAAGGTAGTAGCTTTGCCTTGGCTTGTCACTATCACTATCCCAACAGTACTGTAGGGTGTGGTGAGTATGGTTTCGTCTGACGAGCATGGTGTTGGCGGCGTTTGCTACACTGCCTGGGCTGTCGCCGAATCTGGTGCCACTGCGCCGCGGCATGTGCCCTGACGGTGTGGTGTCAAAGTGTGGGCCTTTAGCGGTTAGTGGCAAGCATACGACTGCTTAGACATTGAGTAGTCTGCTTTCTCTGCCGGGATTCTGTTTGAGTGTTCGATCTGAGCTTGTTTGCGCTGACGGGACATGACTCCGTGGGCTGAAATTGGAAGCCTTCCAGTTGCAGGTAGCCACTTCCGACCGGCTGCATGCACCGGACGAGTGCCTTGCGTCGCTCGGTTCTGATCGGAAGCACATGGACCGTCCAGGAAGAAACCTTGAGCAGCGCGTGATGTTGGAAGACGTCGGTCTTGTCACCTGGGTGGCCTCCCAGGTGATCTTCTGTCATGGCAGCAGCTCCTGCCGCGTGGATGCCTTCCAGGTCATGCCCTGGCTCTTCGAGCAGCTCGGAGTTAGACAGAATTCCTTTGCTCCTCGCGGCGCAGGGCAGCCATGCAGGTCTCAGGCGTCTACTCGTATGGCCTAAGGCACCCTTGCCATCCTCCGAGGTACAAGCTTACTGTTTTTGCGTTTGACTTCTCGGGCTCCGGACAGTCTGATGGCGAGTACGTGACGTTGGGCTACCATGCGCCTTCGACTGAAATCGCAGTTTCCTCCCAGCTTCCGGTTTTCATGTCAGCCCGGAGCCTGCAAGGAAGAGGATGACCTGCGTGTCGTCATCGACTATCTGGTGAGCACCGGTCAGGTCTCGAGTATTGGCCTGTGCCTTGCCGGTACGTGAGGAACAGGGTGGATGCAGATACAACCGCAAAGGCAAGGACCCCAAAGGGAACTCAGCCACCTCAGCCGGACAGCTCTATCGAATCGCGGGTTATCAGCACAGGAGAAGACAGGATTTTAGGGTGACCCACGGCTGTCCGGGGCTGTTGGAGGAAGGCTGCCAGTCTCTTTATGGAAGCGAGTGCAACATCAACCAAGCGTAGGATGGCCATCTATGAGCACCGCTTGCCAAATCTCGTTCAGGTGGGGAAAGTCCATGGGCGCTGTGGCCGCTCTTTTCCGCACTGCGAGGGATCGCAGAGTGGATGCGTGCGTGCTGGACAGGGCACGGCGGTCGTAGGGCTCACCCGATGCTGATACATGCACGCATGCAGACAGTGAGGGGCTCAGCCCTTCGTTCAATCGTTCATGCACCCATTTCTTCGCACCCACATATTCGGACGGTATGTCTAATCTTAAGATTCTTACATGTGTTATCTGTCTACACATGCACACACACACACACATGCGCACACGCGTACAGTGTAAACCAAAACCAAGAAAGACACCGGCAGACAGACAGACAGACAGACAGACAGACAGACAGACAGACAGACAGACAGACAGACAGACAGACAGACAGACAGACAGACAGACAGACAGACAGACAGACAGACAGACAGACAGAAGAGTTCGACAGACAGACAGTAGAGGGACAACTGTATGAAGGTATTATGTATGTATGTATGTATGTATGTATGTATGTATGTATGTATGCATGTGCGTACGTACTTACTTTGGTAAGTATATATTGTACGTATGCATGGATGGATGGATGGATGGATGGATGGATGGATGGATGGATGGGTGGATCGATGCATGGACGGATGGATGTATTTCTATATATGTACATCCAACAGACACCTTTATGCGAGGCAGTTGATTTACATGTACCGTCTATGCGGTTCCCGTTCTCAGCCAGGATTCCCCGTTTGCAGACTTCAGAAGCGTCGTCCACGACTATTGCACCGAGACGTGTCCCGGCTTTGGGCAGTAAACACTGTACCCGAAAATGGCAGACTTCGGTGGCATGACTCTGGTCGCCATCTCCGAGCCTGAGTTTGCTCTCGAACACCGGAGGTCCTAGGTGCTGCAAGCTGCTTGGTGGTTCTGATTCTGGCGCATCCAGGTCGGCACTGCAATGGGTCCCAGCTACGTTGGTCGACTTCTTCCTGGCCCGTGTGAGCTTGGCGGTGCAGGAGCGCGCAGCTTGGAAGCCTACTCTTGTTTTGAGGACACTCGGTTTTTCGAACCAGGCAAGCGTATAACTGCTCACACAAGGCCCGCACACCCCATGTCTGCCAAATTCGCCGGCCGGAGCCGATGCAACAAAGTTCACTCAGGTGGGCCTTGACCCCCGCCGCCTGCAGCCCAAAGAGATGGCACCACAGTGCCACTGCCTCCGGGAACGAAGTTAGAGGGCCAATGGTGGTCTGCGCGGTGTTTTACAGTGCATGCTTGAAGGTGGAAATGTTGCTACCATCGAGATGTCCTGTCCCTGCCGAGTTAAAGGTCCGGCTTTCTTCCTGGTGGGCGAGAGTGACCGTGTGGTGCGGCCGCAGCAGGTCCAGTCCTTGCATCAGGCACCTATCCGACGGGCAGTCATGAACGGGACAGGACTTACCATTGTGCCATTGTCCTTCCGACAGGTCATTGCTCATGGCTGTCAGTGACGCACTTAGACTAAATAGACTACGGGGCCTTACCTGGGTGCGTACTGGTTACCGGCATCAACATGGGTACAGAGCGTCGCAGGCCAGTGACCCAGTCGCATGCGAGTACACCAGCTATTTTGATATACTGATATACTTCGCATTACTTCGTGAACTAAAGAGAGAGAGACAGAGAGAGAGAGAGAGAGGGAGAGAGAGAGAGAGAGATATATATATATATATATATTGACAGCTGCATTCGGCATCCAGAACCACTCCGGAGGCCTGGGGTGGCGAGAGTCAGCTGGCGACCTTCACAGGTGGCCACAACACCGACAGGCACCTCGGTTGAGAATGGGCTTTTTTGGCGTTCACAGGTGCCCATGTCGACTCCTGATGTGATCTTTTCTAAGCGTAAGCTCGGGGCCAAACCCTGGCCGTCGCATCGAAGGCCGTCGACAGTGCTGGAGCAAGCAGCCCGGTTCATGTGGGACACTTTCCTGCAATAGGGCGTGACGGTGATAATTAATATGTTGGCACCTTGGCCCAGCCTGGGGTAGCACCAAAGCCAGCAGGTTGATCCGGAAGATGGGAAGTTCTTCAAGTTATTCGATCTTGTCCCTATTCGCAGATATCAGATGTCCCACGCGCCCAACGAAGACCGCACACGGCGGCACAGCCATCAGCTAACAGCAGGCCAGCACAAAACACGTCATACGTTCATGCCACGTACAAGAAAGCTCGCCTCGAGGGCTAGCGATGGCTCGCGGAGTGCCTTCCCGAATCGTGAGTGGTGCGGAGGGGTAGTTTCGGGGGCGCATGGACGGGCAGGGTGGCCCTATTATGGGCACCCGCCCCAGTGTTCAATTGAACGCAGACAAGAGGCATTCAAAGGAGAAGCGTGGAGCCAATGATGCTGATGATGCTGGGTTCTCGGCGTGTCTTGCAGGGTCAGGGGGGCTTTCCAGGCTGCAGGGGTGCCAACAAGCTCGCATCCAGCCCCTGCGCCCAATGCTGCCATGTCTCATATTGCTCTGGCTTATAAGCCTTAAACCTGACAGTCAAGATGCCGGTTGCTCGCCCTTTGTTGGAAAATTCCTGCTTTGTGCCAACCTGCAGCCTAAACTTCGCCAGACAAGCGGGTCATGAGTTTGTTGGTTCTTTGTCGGTGAATACATTGATTGGTAACTGGAGGGAGCGATCCAGCATCCCAACGATTCACTGTATGTGCACGTAAAATCCCATCAGAGTGAGAAAATCGTATCTGCGTTATTGAATTCGAAGCTTCTGGAGCTGCTTGGGGGAGAAGGCTTCTATCTCGTATGTGCCTCAAAGGAGTCTTTACGGAGTGCTGCTGAAGCAGATGCCCTTCTTTGCGGAGCAGTGGATGCCTTCCTGGCCCTAGACTCAGCCGCAGCTCCAGCTCGTATGGTCGTATGGTAGTTATTTTGAGTGTCTTGTTTGAGGACAAGCCGCCTTCTCGACTCAACGAGCTCAACGGGCTTGGCCTTCTTGGGAAGGCAGGGCAAGGACGAAATGGCCCAATAGACCTCACGTGCCGTGCTTTTGCAACTGCCTCCTGCAGCCTCGAAACATCAGACCGGATCCATGCTCGGAGTCTAAGGCCCGGATCGCTCAATTGTGCTGGCGAATGTGTTACAGCTACAGCTTTAAATTGCTCATGAGGGTTAGGATGGCTTTTGACCATCCTGCAAGTCCGTACATTTTGCAAACTGTACTGTAACTGGGCATGGATTATTCCAGCATGCCTCCGCAGTCTCAGCAATTGGATTGTCCTTGCCGAGGGCCGTGCTCCAGCATGGGCGTGTTTGCAATTCCGTGGAGAAGAGTTCTTGCAGCCAGGAAGAGGACATGCTCGCTGCGGCGGTCGAGCAGTACGTCGAGCAAAGAAGCTCACATGCTATTCATATAAATATAAATATAGATATAAATGTATAAATAATATATATATATATATATATAGCTTTCCGTCGTCCGGACAGCGCCTTGCGCAAAGGTGTAACGTAGCGCCAAGATCTTCAGGGAAGAGTAGTTGCCTCTGCACATGGGGCCGGCCATGCAAGCGTCGCCATCAAAGCCTGCATGCTAGAAGCTCTGTCGTTCACGCAGTCACAGAGTATCACGTCACCGACGCCAAGTGATCACAGAAGCTTTGTGTCTACTTTCCGTGGGCCATCGATGTGACCCGTCGGCTACATCTATGTTCTGTGTGCAGTGAAGTGACAAAATCCAAGTGAGAGGTTCACACCAACGATTGGGGGTGGTAATCGTCGGTCATGGTGGTGAGAAGTAAATAAAGCATTCAGATAGCTGCTACAGCAGCTACAGTACTACAAATGCCGACAAGATGAATTCGGAGATGATAGTCAGGCCACCTGCCATATTATGATCCACAGTGGATCAAGTGACTCCGCATCACTAGAACTCATCTGAGCGCTCACCGCGGTCTGGAGCCGAACCGAGGACAGTCTCTGGATCGGGCAATTGACCATTTCCTCCTCCGAGGCGCTCGGTCACCTTATCGTCGACAGCCCGTAAGGCACCCGGCCCCGGCGCGTGTGCAAGATTTTGAACAGGTGGAGCGCCGCCAAGCGCTACGCCAGTGTGGCAGCACCTGGCACAGAGCCACATTGTGCAGGACCCCGGTCCCAAGATGGCTTGACACTGACGTTGGAGTGGCTGCCACATGTTTCCCAGGTTTGGCTGCAGAAGTGATGAACAAGGGGCAAGCGGTTCTACGTAGAACTCACACACGCCAATTACCACAGAACATGCACTGCCAGTTTCCGGTAAAGGATCAGGTTTTCTCGAAGGCCGTTGAAATGTCGCGGAGCTGGACCGGAAACTATCAGTTTAGGCTTTCGTCTCAAAGCTTGAGCCTGACGCCACCGAGCTTGCAGGCCATGCCGGTGACCTCAATGGGGGGCCGCGCAGTCGACGCCCGAACATGGCAGTTTGGACGCCCGCGTTGAGCCGGGGCCCGCAGCATGTGTTGCCGGCACCCGAGGTGGTTCCTGGAGATGGCGACAGTGAACTCTTTTCAGTTTAATGAGGGCTTTGCTCTCACGAGGATCCAGATGTTGCGCGCATAGTTGAATCATTTACTTTACACGGCAGTCTCGAAACCGAGCGCCAAACAGTAGGCACAGCCTTGAAATTCTTGAGGCTGTTTCATAACATGATGGTTCAAGGGTTCCTATTGGTTGATTCTAACATTTCAAGTCTTGCAGAACAAGAGTTGTACCCTAAGGACGAGTCCGAAACAACCCCTGAATCATGCAGTGGACTCAGAATTCGTAATGTCAGCAGACTCTGGGACAACGGGGCAGACATCCCGGAACTGCACTACTCATTTTCAATTGGGTCACTAGCTCTTTGCCGGGAGGTCTCTCCAGCTGCCCTTGAACTTCTTGCCAGAGCAAGTTCTGTCACGAGTACTCAACGGTGCTCAAACCCCGCCTGACGTATCGGTCTGCCGTAGCACTTTTCATGTACTGTCTCCAACCACATTCGTCACGGAAGTTTGTGGAAGTAGATCAGGGACTTAGAACAAGGGGCCACAAGTGTTTGCAACGCGATTGGAGCTAGAGTTGCCGAATCGCACCTGCCTGACCTCGACAGTGGCAACTGCCTGCCAGTCTAGGAAAGAGGTGCGTGCCTGCGTGCCCTGCCTGCCGATTTAGAGCCTCGGTAGAGCCTCCGAGAGCCGAATCCTTTGAGGGTCGAGTTGTCCTTGCCCAGACACGCGGGAGCTGCAGCTGCCATTCCCGGCCGAGGTGACAGGGAATAGTGCACTGGGTGGAGGGGCGCTGGGAGAGCATCTGCACTGCGAGGGGGTCTGCCGTCAGTCTGCATTGAGGGGGCGAAAGAAAAGAAGCGGAAGAAGGACAAGGGCAAGAAAGAGAAGAAGCAAGCGCCCAAGACCGATTCAGACAGGTGTGGTTGCTCCCCCTGCCGCTGCATCGCGCACATGTGTTTGCGTGGTGTTGCATTTGCTCCAGTGTCGTGCCTTCGGTGCATGTCGTGTCAATGAGTCGCCCTGAGGTCAGCTCGCCAGCCAGAGACTGCTGATCCCTGGGCGAGCCCAAACAGCGCTTGAGCTGCATCTCAAGCGCTTGTCTCCAGGAGTTTATCCATCCATTGCCTCTTGTCCACCGTATTTTTCGGGCGTCGTAGAGAATCCCTCGCGGATTTTGACACTGCGTGTGCCAATGGTGAGGTGTTCCGGTGGCCCCAGAGCAGCCCGAGGAGGGACAGAAGATCGAAGCACTCAAGGCCACTTCAAGCTGACCCACGAGCAAGTCCCACGAAGCTGAATCGATTTCCGATAGCTTCTCCAGAAGAGCCTGCGGCATTGAGGTGCTTGCTTGGTGTTTAGAGATTGTCGGAAAACTGGGGCTGATCATGGCAGGCCATGGGCTTTGAAGAAGCTCGAATTCGCACCTCGGCCTGTGGAGAGCAGGGGCATTCGGTGAAAGCACTCTGATGTGCGGCTCCGAGGACAAGTCCTGGAGGCCGTTGGTGGCAGTGTAGAGAAGGCGGTGCCAGTTCTTTTGGCGGATGAGTAACTACGCAGCCCAAGGCTGTAGTAGCATCTGCAGCTTGTTGAAACCTCTGTCGAGGGCAGGCGGCGCACGGAATGTTTTCGATGTGCACCGTAGTAACCTCAGGGGAAGCTGTCGACCAGAAGTCCCTAATATGCTGCTTCCGACGAGCCGATGTTCTGCCACAATATTCCTTTGTATTCCAACGCCCATGCCGCTCGATGCCTGCGTTGCAAAGTAGACGCCGGAGCGAGGATCAAGCGATTCCACCACACCCTCTGGTTTGATAGCTGCATGGTCAATACTAGGAAATTTGCTCCGCGTTAGTTCCATGTGCTTGTGGTGGTGGCTGTTGCGCTGTTGGCGGCAGCAATTGTAGTGGTCAAGTGAAGTGATTCCACGAAAGCAGGCCCGGGCTTGACTTTGGCACTCGGCCTGCTTTGGCTTGGGATCGACGGCAGCACCACTTCCATGAAGTGTTTGCAGCCGTCCACGTCCTGCTATTACTGTTGTCTTGAAGTCCAAGATCCCTCGTCGCCGCCCTGTCTGATGAGCTTTTACTCCGGCTGTTGCACCAAAGCCCCAACTAGGTAGATAAGACTAAGACAGCACAGAAGTGAGATCATGAACCCGGCATGGAGTACTCGCATCAACAGAGAGGAAGTGAAGGACAAAAGAGCACTTGTCGTTTCAACCGGCACAACCTCTGCCACTCATCATGTGCTGGTAGACTGAATCTTCTTCCGTGAAGGTCCAGCCGCAGGGACTGCTCTGTGCTCTCGATACCTCTTTTTCACATGTGATTATAGTCTGCCTGTTTCAGGTGCGTGACGGCCTCAGGGCAGAAAAGACCGGTGGGTTTCCGAATGCTGGATGTAGCAGTCCTAGTGTGCAGTGATGTAGCTTAGAGTTGAGGGTCGTCAACAGGACGTCCAGGGTGAGGGTAAAGTTAAGGCACTTTGAGACCACCTGCATTGCAGACCCGATCCGAAGCAAGTGGAGTTCTCCTTGTTCGGCCACAACTCACAATTTCTGTTTGAAACCAGCCCTGCGAGCAAGCAAGACCAACCGTTCAGCGTCTGACTTTCTTAGAGTCTTAGACACACACCCACCTAATGCTGATCCATACGAAGTTTTTGATCAGGGGGTGAACAAAACAGCTGCCTCCAGCTACGCGGCAGGGTCCCCGGAAGTTCATTTCGTGGGGCTTCATGGGAACTGGGTGAGGATAGAAAGCACCCAGACTGTTGAGGGTTGCTGGCAGTGCCGTCGAGATGGAGGCTTGTAAGAGCAGTAACCTCCAATCTCTGTGCGACTAAGGGAGATCTCCTATGGATGAACGGATATCGGTTGCGACGGCTTCTCACTTGGATCGCGGGGGACTTACCATGCAGAGAGCATGGCTCAAGCCAAAACCAACAAGCAGCATCCAAGGCGTCGTCCATGCTCAGCACACGTTCTTCGCAGCACAAACCAAGCAAACCAACCAGTCGGCGACACGCTTGCCCGATTCGGAGTTTTGAGTTCTCTGGAAACATGGCTCCGGCAGGCAGGGCTTGTCTTGGGACTCTTTCGTAAAACGCCGTGATCGAAGACTTTGAGCAGTACACTCATGTTGAACTGACGGTTTGGGTGCACTGCCAGTACCAAGGCTTCTCGCAACGAATCACTGGTCAGTTGACCGGCACTGTTGTTTGAGTATCTGCTGTTGCCACACGCGAGCGCAACAGCGAGAACCACCGTTGCCCTGGCCCTTCACGTGCTGCGCGGAAAGCTATGATCCCATGCAGAAGCAGTGTCTCCAATAAGATGTGCAAAGGAGGTAGGTGTGTGTGTGTGTGTGTGCAGCTCAGCAACTGTTGGTTCGCACTCGTGCTGCCAGTGTCGCTGCAGGTCGTTGACAACGGTGTTTAGAGGCCTCGGCGAGACAAAAAGTCGGAAGCCGACAGGGGCCATGTTCAAAAGAAGCCTGCTGCATTTCAGATCTACCGGTCCTAGGTTTCGTTTCGCAATGAGATCTGACATCAAAGTCGCAATAATTCAATAGCCCTTTTGTGGAGTGAAGCCATGTCCGTGTCTCACTTGAAGCATCGCGCAAGCCCATAAGTGGCTTTGAGGGGGCCGCCGCAACATAGGCGAGAGAGTCCCGGTAGACAAAAAGCTGTGCAGAACGAGAGGGACCACAAGCCCGATACAAAGTGTCGATCCATTTGACTGAGGTGCGAAAGCCAAGATCTCCGTGTCCTGCTTGTACCCTCAGTTACACCCTCCGCCCAGACTCCGAGGCTCAGCCTCAAGGGCTCGTAGCAAGCCGAGGAAAGAGAACCTCAGGCAATCTCAGAGTCCAAAGATGTCCAAAGCGAGGAGAAAAGGAAGGGAATCATGGCTAAGGCCCTCCGCTATGCCACCCGTCTTGCTCCTTTGCACCAGGTGCTTAAGGTTTGCACAGACTTGACTAGACCGGGCAGCAGAGCAGGAGCCTTGCGGTTCAGAAGCAGCAGTGGCAGCTTTCTCCAGAAGTCCGTTCCAGTGAGGAAGTTCAAGAAGGAATCCCGAGCACGAAGGTCAGTTCGCGAGCTTGGGCCCAGTCCAAGTTAGATGCAAGGAAGCGGTAGCTACAAACATCAGGAGTACACATTGAATTTCCCCGGCTATGGACGAGACGCCCAAATCAGCCGCTGGCGTCTCTGTGCTCGCGGACGGCTTGGCTGTCTCACATTACGTAGAAGCGTTGGAGGCTGGGCAGACTGCAGAGAGGCCTAGGTTTTAGGGTCTTGCTTCCATGCGCTGGTAGGCACGGACCCCAAGGAGCCCTCGAAAGACCGGACAGGCAGGGGCAAAGTGGTCTTCTGAGGCCAGGTAGAGCCTGTAGCCGCTGGAGGCTCCCAGAGAGGTGGCCGCGGACGTCCAGGATGTTACAGAGGCTCAGGTCAGAACGCTGTGTTTTTGCCGTCTAGGTCTTTCGTGCACCGGAGTGCCGTTGACACAGGTTCCTCTGTCTTTGATTTAAGAAGCAACTAAGAGGGGACAGCAGACACTTGCACAGGGCACCGCGCCAGACTCCCCGCCGAAGGCGGAGGATGTTGCCTTGGTAGATAAATCGCTGCACTGAGCTAGCCGGGCCATCTGTGAACCGCTAACAGGATCCTCTCCAGTTTGGGGGTGACCTGGAACTGGAGCTAGACTCGTTAGAGGCTGCATCTTGGCAGCGAGATCGGGTGACTGGGCTTGGGATGCCTTTCATGGATTGAGTTGTATGGATCTCTGAGTTTTGGCAGAGTCTGGGCTCAACTAAAGGATCTCTGAATTCTATGAGTAGACAGGTAGGCCCGTTGAGCGGCATTTGAGGTTAACTTGCATTGTCATGTGATACGGCACAAAGGCTGGGCCGAGGATCGCACTCCCTGCCCCTGCCGAGCGAGCCGACAGGCACGGGGCGGACGTCATCCTAAGTGTTTGATTTTGAGTCTCCCGTTTATTCGGGAGATGTCTCTAAGTATAGGCTATGTACCCTAGCTTGGTCGAGTCAAGAAGTTGTTGCGACTTGGGCGTTGCACCGGATGTCTTTGATGTTGAACCGGCTCTGTTCGTCCGGACCAGGACGGATGCAGAACCGGAGGCATCTCCGAACGATTTCTGCCGCGCCGCTGAGCAGACAGCGCAGTCGGAACAGGGCCCCATCTTAGGCGCTTTGCAAAGGCCCACTCTAAAAACAGTTAAGGTGGTGTGTTCAAAGGAAGGCGTCGCGGCGTGGTGTTTTGTCTTCGCATCGAGGTCTGAGTCCAGTGGCTGGGACAGCTGGCTATGCTGCGGCAGGCTCCAAGCTTTTCCAGTCTTTACAGGGTTCGCACAGTACAGTCTGCAACCCGCAGAGCGGAGCTGCGGAGCTGCAGAGCTCATGCTGCAGGCTTGATGATGAGCCTCCACTCCGTGAGCGCCTCCGACCTGAGCCCCGTGGCCTGGGCGCGGCGAGGCGGACGCTACGCGTCTGCGCGCGCGCGCGCCTGATTCTTCAATATTCGCTGCGGCTGACTCAGACGCCGAAGAGTTCCAATTCAGCCCTGTGGTGGTCGAAAGCCTGGCAGGCCTGGACGAACTCCGTGTTTTTGCGAGCTGGTAGTGCCTTCTGCGAAAAAGTCTTGGAAATGCCAACCCCACTCCCTCACCTCACCCCCCACGAAACAAAAGCCAGCTCCACCAATCCCCTTCGCGAAGGCGGTGTGCAAGAGACAGACCCTCCGAGCGAATCGGCAGATGCTTCGTCTGCCCAACCGCCGCGGCTGCCGTGGCCCCGAAGTTCTGAAAGAGCTTTTGATCTTAATCGAGTCAGGCACAGCACAGATCCGGTTCCAGTTCTGCAGTTGCCCTGTGAGCAGATTTGAGAACCCCTGGGAGCAGCCGGCTGTGCCCGCGACATCACAGTACGGTCATGCAGGCACGTGGCAAGCCCAAGGACGAGTCCCCAACCGCAGACCGCAGAGCCGTATAGGCGTTTGTCGAAGCTTGAGTCAGCTTGAGCTGAGCCCCAAGGCATGCTTTGACACCTTGCCACGTCGGCAGTGCGGCTAAGGCCAGGGGCAGCTTGGTGCTAGCAGCGAATTTGTCTTCCTGTGGTCTCGTTCTAGCCTGGTCCAGGGGTTTCTGCCAGACGGAAATCTACTTAAATCATCCTGGATCCAACTGCGTTAATCGTACTGCAAGACTACGGAGACTTGAGACTTCAATAGGATCCGACACTGACGCTAGTGTATGTGTTCATCCAGAAGACCACAAAGTCTGGCTCGAAGAAATTGTCAAAGTTACGCTTGGGGGTCGGGGCATCTCACTGGTGCTCGACATGCATTTGATCGTTTGACATGCTGCCTGCTGGCCTTTTTGTTGGTTGTGATGTGCAGTGCGTGGGCCATGCGCCTCAACGCTGTGACGAGGCAGTCGTTGAGCTCAAACCCGATATTATAAAAGCCACCGCTGAAGCTATGCTATGGGCTATCGATCTAGTTTGGCGTATGTAGTTTTCGTTTTGTCAGGCTTCCCCATCAGACTTGTGATTTCACAGCCGCTGCTGAGCAGGAAATGAAGCGAATGGTTCTGCAGGGTTTCGGTAGCGAGGCGGCTGCGTTCTGCGATGGAGAAGGCCGAAGCTCGCTCCCTCGTGGAGCGATGCTTGCCACGCTTTAAGGATGCGGGGCTGTCGGCTCCGGATGGCATCACGGACGTCAAGGCCTTGGACCCTTGCTGAGGTGCATTTCAGCTGCCCCTGTCGCAGGTAAGAGCAATCGCGACTCTGTGGGCTGGAATGGGCAGCGTGTATGACCTCGCAGTGGCTTGGTCCGGAGCAACGACCAAGCGATGTCGTGAGCATTTCCAAGATTCCAGCATCTTCGCTACTGTCATGCTGGGCATCGAAGTTGTCCAGCAAAATTCGTGCCGTGCCTACCAGGTGAGCTCCAAAAATGGACTCCAGAATGTTGTGGCCAAGCGCGTGCAGCTTCCGAAGTGGTGTGACAGCATTGGAGACCAACGAAAGAAGGCATCCGCAGTGCTGCAACATGGCAAGTTTCAGTACGAGTAGGAATTCTGCCCAGCTGCTGATGCGGAAACAAGTATAGCACCGTGATGCGAAAGAACACGTGATAGGCCGGTCGTTCTCGTCGCTGGGTCGGCACTGCGCATGCCATGCCTTCGGACCAGATTCTGTGACAAGACATGCCAAAAAATGCCAGGACAGCTACGATGTGGAGGCTGCATTCTATCAGAAGGCAAGTGTTGCCCTCGTCCATGAGACTCGTCTGTGAAGTCATTCCAACTGACGGGCATGCATCACCAAGCGAAGTGAGTCAGATATGTTCTGTTCTGGTACCTCCATTACACAAGCCAGCCTCGAATTGCAGGGACATGCGGAACGGTTGATTTCCGCGGGCTGCATGGTGCCTTTCCCACTCCACGTGGAGCACTCACGTGGCGAGGGCGTGACCATCTGCATGACGAAGGTGGAAGGCGCCGAGTCTTGGGAGCAACGCTCTTTGACGCCGATCCGCTTTTTGTGCCAGCGAGAGCTCTGAGCTCTGAGCTCTGCCTGAGAGGCCGGGCGTCGCATCCTCGAGGGGCGGAGGCCTTCGTCTCCTGGCTCGCGCGCCTCCACGCGCGCCTGGGCCCGGTTCTGGTTCTGGAGATGCGAGTGTTGTAGACGCCCAGGCGCATACTTGTGGGACCTTGAGGAGCCGTGGAAGTGTGTGACACATGGCCAAACGTGCCAAGGACATACTGGGGCCGAAGAGCTGACGAAGCCTGCGGAGACTTGGGAAGAACTTAGCCTCAAGCTTGTCGCTCACCGTGGCTGGCACCTGGAGACTTCAAGATGCATGCAGGCCAAACGAAGGCATGCGAAGGCTAAGGTAACCAAAGCATCGCCGCCACCGCCACTTTGACCTCCAACACCACAACCCACCAGGTAACAGCATCACACGCAGGAATGCTTCTCAATTTCTTGCTGGAGAAACTAAATCAGATGATCAAGCTGACATGGGTTCTTGTAGTTCAGGCCAGATCGCGTAAGTACCACATGAAGAGCATCGCATGAACACGGCAATAGGTTACACAAAGAAACAATACTGCAGAACACATGCCGGAGACGAGCCGCGCATGGTGTTGCTGAGATTGTGTTTCCCCCTGCCCTGCGCTAGCTCATCGACTTCTGCAGGCCCTGATGCAGGCGGATTGCAGCTTCAGGGGCTCTTCGGCAGCACTGGCCGTCACTACCTGTAGCAGTCCCTTGTGGCCTGGGCCTTGAAGCTGGCGAAAGAGTCCAGGGCCAGCCTGTCAGGTGCTATTGGCACTTAGACACGCGGCCGGACGAGCACAGGCAGTTGTGGGCAGTCGTTGCGGAAGAAGGCAAAGACACAGAGCCTCATATGGTTGCGAGGAAGATGCCCTCCTCCGGCTGGATGGGCCGCCTCAAGCTAGCTGCTCGGGCGATTGACCTGAGGCTCAAAGCAGCTACTTGGTGTGACATTTTGCGCAACTGCTCATAGATGGAGAGGCACAGTATTACATTGACGCCGCGCCTCTGCACAGTCCTATGCTTTGCATGAAGTCTTCCTATGTAGTGATATTGTCCTGAGTGGGTGTTCTGTAATCACTGCACTGGCTGGCAGCCAACGTTTGCCATCCGATGACGGTTTCGGCATGACATGACGAAACATCCTGAATCCTGAGAGGCTTTAATTCAATGCCCCACTGTTTATAGTTTATGGCCAGAGATCTCAAATTCAGCCAAATTCAAGCAAACCCTTTCAACCGAGGACCCTTTGCAGTCCGCATCTGTGCAGCAAGAAGTGCCCCGTTCGTTCTGCCACAGCGCGGACTGGCCAAGGTCTGCCATGGTGATGCCAAGGGTGCAAACATCCTTTATGCCAGTGGGGAAGGAGGACAGGGGGAGGATGTTGGCTTTCGGCATCTGGCGGCTTCATTTTACTCCTGCGATGGTGACGAGCTTCATGCAGACGGAGTCGAGCAAAGTAGAGTAGATGTCGGCGGAAGCGTGGGGCCCATGGAAGCACGAAGGTTGATGTAGTTGGAAGGTGGTTGGTTTTCGCCCCTGCAAATTTTGACGCAGATTTAAGGGGGGTGGTAGGGGGGGAGGGGGTGTTGATTAATAACTTCTCCTCGCGTGTGCTGGTTGGGGGTGCGCAAGACTGCGTTCTTCTACGGGTGGAAACCTGTATAGTAGATCTGACGAATCTACAATGCGATCTCCACGTTGACGACATCAGTAGTCTATTGTGTGCTCGCGCTGGCAATCTTGTCTAGCTTGGCAATGATCCTTCCTCACAGTCATTTCTAGTTTCATTCTTGCATCGCCACCTCACATTCGTGGGCTGAAACCCGTCTTTGTTCAGCTGAAGTCCCATGGCTTGGTCCTAACATGTGCTTGACCAGACAGTACACGGCTTTATCCGGTCACTTCCCTCAACTTCATGAGTGGGAGTCTGCTCTTGTCTTGCTTACCATGCTTCGGAGTACTTGGGTCTTACAGTCGTGCTTCAGCAGCCAAGTGCATGACGTCTTCGGTGGTGCACGTGCCCTTTGACAGATGTTAATGCGGCAACATCGTCGAGCAGTTCTGTGTGAGCACGTTGAAGCGCATCACTAGTCTTTCCTTGGCGAAAAGGTGCATTGATTGCAGTTATTTGCTTTAAGTGCATCTTCAGCTCAAGCTTTAATCCGTTGTCATCCACAGCTTTTAAAGCAGAGGAGCACACGGAGCATGCGACAAGTTTTTTTTTGCTACAGCTGTGACAAGCCTCAGGAACTGAGGAAAGAACTCGGATCTCGCAATCAAATCTTCAAGCGAGTTAGTTCATTCATAGCACGCGGATGCACTCGGCGCTGAGTGAGAACGGCTTCAAACGCTGTACGTTTGCGTGGCTCACGTCGTTTCTGTTCTTGATTCGGGGTTGCCGACGTGGGGACGTTGCAGGCGCGAATCATGGCGAAGAGACCGCAGCAAGTATTCTGAAAAAAGTTGCCCACGTTTTCTCGTCACAGTCTGTTCGTAATTTCACGTTGTTGTCTCTGATTAGGATTTCTGTTTCGATTTCGTCAGATCCTGTCCTGTCCTGGCGACTCCGAGTCTTCGCGGCTCTTGGCATTTCCAATGTCATAGAACGGTCAGCCTGCAGGAGAGGCGATGCCTCTTGTGTATGACTTCCAGTACTGTGGCAAAGCTGCGGAGCCGACCTCAGCCACATAGCCTGTCTGCATTTTCTTTCGTTTCATTCATTCTGGGCTTCGGATTTGCATGTTCCGATTGCGGATACTTGCTGCTGTCTGTCCCATGCTGCCAGGTGACGAAGGATTTGGAGACTCGACAGAACAGATTGATTTGCGTTCGTTGGCCACGTGTTGATCCCAGCACAGCCTAAGAAAGGGCGGTTCAACGCCTCACGCCGTATTGAGCAACGCATGACAGTTGTTGCAGCGTTTGCAGTCTGAACTGATATCACGCTGGAGACCTTGAGAGAGCCCCGCAAGTATTGAAACAGTATGGCTACACTTCGCAAGGCTTACTTCTTCAATGTGGAAGCACATCCCTCTGAAGCCGAAGAAGAGCGGCTGCTGCGACTCTACCATTCGGAGCCTTGTTCAAAGTTGAGACGTTGACTTCTTCTAATGCCACCTGTCTGGAGCAGCAGATCCATGGGATTACTGTCTGCTAAGCCGAACATGAAAACCACTTGCCCCTAAATCGCAGCAGGAGGAAAAACATCGCATCTCCAAAGGCATGCCTTCTCCACCCTCCTTGTGCCAGGAGCTGACGAAGCTTCTTGGAGCCCAGGGAGACGCCCCCCCCGAACTCGCGGCGCTGAAAACTTCGCTGGAGCACCGGGGACGCACTAAGACGCCCTCCATCATGGCCAGTCGAGAGAGGGAGAGAGAGCAGGAGCTTGAAGAAGAAGGCAAGAGAGAGAGAGAGAGAGATGTATGTATATATATATATATATGTATATATATATATATATGTTGCAGGGCTGCCATCA